AAGTACGTTTCTCGTACTTAACTGATTTCACACAAATGTCATTGACATCGCCCTGAGATGTAGCTTGTGCAGCCAGGAGCCACCTATCTGTTCTAATGGCATCCACAGAGGACACTGAGCCCGAGGACTGCAACCTGGCATGGGACGGGTCGCTTTCGACTAAAAGCTTCTACAAAGGTGGGTTGTTGCCTCGGCCCTGACATTAGGAATTATTCAGTAAAGTGTGTACTTCTTCGTCTAGTAGCTTACGCATCGGATTCTGAAAGAATTTGGGTCCTGTGGTGGCATTTTTGGGTACGAAAGGCCGCAAAAGTTGAATGGGGCATTTTTTCTTCCCAAGTACCAGCGTATTTGATTATCGTACCTCGGGTTCTCCTCAGACTTGATCGATTCTCCGCGCAGCTCGAGTCACAGATGGGACCCCTGGAAACTGCCCGGGATGGGATTTTGATACCAAGACCGCACAGTCTCAATCCTAGTCAGCGTGCTTGGTGTAATTTCCCACGCTTCACGCCTACATCTATGGGAGTTGTGATGCCGAGCATCATGCAACCTTGGTGCGCTTGCTTGTCTGAGGTTCTCTTCACCGACATGCGTAGGTCAGTTGTTGACACCTTTAGGGTTTATGCACTTAGAAGCCCTTGTAGCAACGCGGACAATCTTAATGCCTGGATCCCAGCTCAGTTTGATCTGGGGGCGAGAAGTGTGTCTGCTGATCATGCCCTCGCTTCAAAAACCTTTGAATTAATACAAGCGCGAAAGACGAAGTGTATGGATGCCCTTGCGAGGCCTCCAGCTCGCAGAAGCTCTCCTTCTGCCGCTGGCTTTGCAGCAAGATAGCGCCGCCGCTCTACAAGCAACTGGGCAAAATTTTCAACAGGCGCTGACAGGAGAAAGTCCGACGGACTGTAGCAAGATCACTCACCATGGTATGAACTGCGAGAACAATCACCTTAGGTCATGGTGGACTTCAAAAGACTTTTGAACAGACTTGACACGGGGTGCATGCTGTGTTCTTTGTTATCATGCCCAAGGCACTTGTTCAACACTGTTCTTGCCTCATTCTGCAGTAATGCAATGAAAGCTTGAGGTTGGTGACCCCCACGAAGCGGAAGCTTCTGTTGTTGGAGAATCTGCCGCAGGCGCTGCGGGACACTCTCTCCTGCTTAGCCTCGACCACTCCTGAGAATATTTTCCCAAGCCCCAAGCTCGCCGTTTCCCTTTGAGGCGATCTTCGCCATGATCTACCTTAAGGTCAATGGCGGCAGCCTGTTTGTAGGTCTGCTGAACCTTGCGATCCCTGCCCCTTGATGGCACATTTGTCGAAGTGTCACTTTTTTCGCTTGTGGCCGAACTATCCCCAGGGGGTAGGAGTGACGCTGACATGGTCTGAAAAAACCTTTTTGAGCGCAGCTGGGGCTTTCCCCAGTTCAAGACCAGAGTCTGACATTGCTGTTTCAGAGGGCAAGTCACCTACTTCTGCCACCTGAATGTCGTCTTTCCTGAGTCTGCGCAGGAGGGTCTCGAAGTCTTGATCGTTTGGTACAACTGATCTGCACAGGTTTCCCAGCTCATCTTGGCAAATATGTCCTACGGCACCACGGCTTGAAGACAGGTTGATCAGCACCACGGAAGATCCCGTTCTTTTTTTGTCTACGGTTCGTGCAGTCTTCTACTGCGACTGCTGTTGATTGCAATGCTACTGCTACATCAATTTTCATCCTCGCTGCCATCAGTAGCGGCAGCTGTAGTATTTGTTCTGCAGTGGCACAAATGCCTGATCCAGTAGTGTCAGACTTCTTCATGAGGATGCTCGGCGCCCTTCTACTGCTAGTGCTGTCATGACCCACTTATCCAATGTGAGACATGATCATGCTGGAGACGACTTGTGCTGTTTTGTTTCAACTAACGTTATTGAGCTTCAATTCGATTTCGTGAAGCACGCAGGCAGCCTCCGGCGCTGTTCAGCTCCATGGCAGGGGGAGCGGCTCAACTCTGCCTTGGAGGACACCTGGCACAGCAGCAGTGGCAGGTGTAGCAGAAGTTGTGGCTGCAATCGTGAAAGTTTGCGAATACGCAGGACAACAATGAGCTGATGGAACAGAGGATCAGAGATGAGGCCTAAGCAAGCATGCTGTTTGCCAGTGTTTGCCAGATGCAACAAGTAGAAGCAGCAGCGGAAGTCGTACTGGTGCTGCTGGTGCTGCTGGTGCTGGTGCTGGTGCTAGTGCTGGTGCTGGTGCTGGTGCTGGTGCTGCTGGTGGTGGTGGTGGTGGTGGTGGTGGTGGTGGTGGTGGTGGTGGTGGTGGTGGTGGTGGTGGTGGTGGTAGTAGCAGTGGTAGCAGTAGTAGTAGT